GGCTGCCCAGGGAAGTGGTGGAGTCCCCATCCCTGGAGGTATTTAAAAGACGTGTAGATGCGGCACTTAGGGACATGGTTTAGTGGGCATGGTGGTGTTGGGTTGACGGTTGGACTCGATGATCTTAGAGGTCTTTTCCAACCTTAATGATTCTATGATTCTATGAATACACACTCAACAGAAAAAGCCTACAGTCTTCTTTGCCTTAAAGAAGGCACGAGTTGTATGGTTCAGTTTCTGACCTTACTTGCTTACTTCTCCTCAACATGCCTTTCATTTCTATGAGTCCTTACAGAGAGGCCTGTGTAGAGTCTCAAGTACCAACACAGGATCCTCAGTTGTAAATCTCAGGATAAAGGAAAGGGTGCCAACGTTCCCTAGAGGAAACTGCCATTCTTTTTAGCACCATCTAACATGGAAGTTAACTGCTACTTGAATAAGTGTGTTCCATCTGAAGTTATCTGCAGTGATTATTTTATGTCCCTAAAAATAAAGCCTCTTCCAAAAAAAAAAAAGCTTTTTGTATGCACTTTGGGAAAGACTGAACTCACAGAACCAGCTCTTCCATCAGACACTATTATTACCTGAGGTGAAAACCTAAAATCACATTTTAACATCTTCCAGATTTTAAAGAAGACTTCATTAGTAACTGATGGATATTGAATAATTAAACAGTCATAAAAAGGAGATTTTTCTCATCGCTGTATGAATGTCAGAGCACATCAATGTGACTGATTCATATTTTAGCATTAACTCAGCATAAATACCAAAGTAAAGATTACAGATACTTTTTGATTTGAAAAGCTTTTCTAAATTGTCTTCTGCAAAATATCTCATTTTAATATCGTATCTCATATAAATATCTCATATTTTTATCTTGTATTTTTAACTCATCCAAGGGAAGATTCTTTAAGGCATTTAATATAATTTGCTCGGATATATCTCTTGGTGAAATATTACTTGATTTTAAGCTTCTGATGAGGCAAGTATTTCACTCTATCACTGTGCAGCTGTGCCTTCTGTTTGAATGTGATTCTTCATTCTTTTTCTCAATCTTACTCTCTCCTCTAATTTTTACTTCTTTTTACTTTCACATGTCTCTTGAAGGCATTAACTGTGTTCAGTAAGAACTTGTTTACACTTAATGTTTATTTTGAAGTTGGATTTTCTTTCTTGGATATAAACCTCTTTCTTCTTAGGAAGATTTCAAATGTTTCTGTTAATAAAAAAAAAAAAAAAGAAAAAACCCAGAAGAAACGAGTTAGGAAAAAGTGATGTGAAATTGTGTAACTTGCATAGTGTCAAATTATGGATTAACTGAACATAATTCTCAGAAATTCAAATACAATCTATACAGTGTTCAACTATTTCTGTAGAAATCGTAACATTTGACCCCCCCAGAACCTATGAAGAAGCATTTCACAGTCATATACTTTGTCCTCACCATTTCCACAAATTCAATTTTTAGCCACTTCATGTTTTCTTGATTAGGAAAAAAAACCCAAATCCTCATTATTTAGAGTCCATTGCATTTAAAATTATAATTGTTTGAATACCAAGAAAACAAACAAACAAACAAACAAAAGGCACTGAAGTCTCTTAGTTCCAGAAAGGTTTGTTATAGAATCATATAAAAGTCATTACAGTTCAACCCATCGGAAGTTTGGGTGGGAAAAAAAAGTAAGTATGAATAAGCACTAACTAGTCGCACATGCATACACTGGGCATGTAGTTTATGTGTCCAGCTGTGCTGGGTTGACCCTTGCCAGCAGCTAAGCACCCACACAGCCGCTCGCTCACTGACTTCCCTCCACCAGCGGGATGGGGGGGTTAATACGAAGAACAAAATTGAGAAAACTCATGGATTGAGATAAAAAACAGGTTAATAGGTGAGGTAAAGAATAAAAAAACAAACATCGCAAAGGGAATCACTTGCCACCGCCCACAAGCAGCCTGATGCCCAGCCAGTCTTTGAGCAATGGTCAGCTTCGAAGACAACTCCCCCACCATCCTTCTTCTTCCTCTACTGTCTTTTATTGCTGAGCACGAGGTTAAATGGTGTGGAATATCCCTTTGGCCGGTTTGGGTCAGCTGTCCTGGCTTTGTTCCCTCCCCATCTCCTGCCCACCGCCAGCCTACTTGTGGGGGCATGGGCAGAGTGGAAAAAAGAGCGAGCCTCGAGGCTGGGGGGGGAGGGGGTAAGAAACAGACCAAAAAAGGTCAACAGCCGAAACACTGGTGTGTTAGCTACACTGTTTTAGCCACAAACCCAAAACACAGCACCATACGGGCTGCAATGAAGAAACTCCATCCCAGCCAGACCAAGCACACCAATACAAGTTTCAGTTGAATGTAAAGTGAATTAAGCTTAAACTTGGCTAGATTAAGTCTTGTGTTGGTGTCGTGGTTTAACCCCAGTTGGCAACCAAGCACCACACAGCCACTCGCTCACCCTCCCCACCATGGTGGGATGGGGGAGAGAATCGGGAGAGCAAAAGTAAGAAAACTCATGGGCCAAGATAGGAACAGTTTAATAATTGAAATAAAATAAAGTAGTAATAGCAGTAATAATAAAAAAATTGTAATGAAAACAAGAGAGAGAAAGAGAGGAACAAAACCCAGGAAAAATAAGTGATGCAACTGCTCACCACCCGCCGACCGATGCCCAGCCAGTGTGCCCCCTCCCAGCTTCTCGCTGGCAGGGCATGGGAAGCTGAAAAGTCCTTGACTAGCGTAAGCACTGCTTAGCAACAACGGAAACATTGGTGTGTTATCAACATTATTCTCATAGTAAATCGAAAACACAGCACTGTACCAGCTACTAGGAAGAAAATTAACTCTGTCCCTGCCGAAACCAGGACAGTTGGTATCAGACAATTGTAATTGACACTTACAAGGTAGGGAGGGAACAAAAAATAATCATATAATTAGCCTCAGTCAAACATTATAGTACCAAAAGATACCAAAACTCTTCTATATTCTGAAATATGGCCCAGACCTTAAAGCTCAGATTGTGCTTCTGAAAAACAAGATTCCACTTTACTTGTAATAATTTAATTTAATTTATGTGGTAAACATGTTACTAATTTTCTGCCTTAAACTTTGAAAATTTGATTTTTTTAATGCTTTGTGGACCAGAAATGAGGTCACTTAAAGCAAAAATGTCATTGAGACCACTAACTGCAGTATTGTTTTTCAGCTCTGGATAAAGAGCTTGAGACACATATCATGAGAAAATGAGAATATGGTATTTTTTTATATCAGGGATATTTAAAACTTTAACAGAAATACTACTGCTAGGATTAGGATAGCTGCACAAGTGGTCATAGTTCACATTTGTAAAATATACAAATGAGTCTTAGTTGCATTAAAGCTGTGTAACTATCCCGGGACCTTTGCTATTTACGTTTAAATATAGAACTTGTTACCAACTGCAGAAGCTGAGTCGCAGGAAGAGATCGTGAAGGTATCTTTTAATTCCTTGAGTCTTAGCTGCTTATGTACACAAATTTCAGTAATTCAAGTACATCTTCACAAACATGCTCTTTCTCCAGTGCTTTTTTGCCCATGTCTAGAGATGCAGGTAATTGTCAGAGAACGTGATAAAGAATAAATCAAACTCTGTGCTCCAGTATTAAGACATATGCTTTCCTATATTTTAAATTATTCCATTTGTACTCTACTGAAAACATATTCAGTATTTAACACAAAAATCTGTTCTCCAGCAGCAATATCATCTCTTTCAAAGGCATGAAGTCAAATGCAGCTAAGATAAAATTTCTTTATTTTTGATTTTGTCTTAAATTTACACATTGCAATGAAACCTCACAAAAAAGTCTTCATCTATAACCCATGCCATAAGCAAGGAAGTTTCTTAACGTTTTCTCTTTGAATGGCAGCTCCCTTGCAGTTTTCAAAAGTTTATGGCCTCTTGTTCAAATATGTAGGTACCAAACCCATCAGCTCAACATATTCTTTTTACACATGCCATTTTATTCCCTTTACAGAAGAGAATTTAACACTATCAATTTCCCTGTTTATTAACAGTGATGAATACAGTTGATGAATCTGCTCCTTCCTGAAAATTCAGACATAAAATTACTTGCCTGAGATGAGAGAAAAAAGCAGGCAGTATCAGATGACTGAAATAAAAGAAGGGACATACGATACCATAAGATATGTAAAACCACTGGAAGATTCTCAGGATCTTCTTTTTCAGATGGTTAAGTACCTCAGCTAGACATTTGTAATACAGATGATATAGCATTGTTGAATAAATTCAGCACACTTGTTGGATGAACTGTAGGTGGACAGTAACAATCAATAGAGTGGGAATACCCAAATCAGGTTAATTTCCCACAAAGCTGCTGCTTCTTTGCCAATACCTTACAGTTCTATAAACATTTTCCTTCCCACTCTAAAAGATGCTGATACTAATTTTCTACTGGTGTGTGAAAACACTTAGAAATAAAGGTAACTGTACAAAGGAAACTGGAACCAGATATATGCAAAGCTCTGGGATGCTCAAGTAAGCAAACGTCTGCTGGGAGGGAAATTTCTGCAGCTTAGATGTAGTGATATGGAAACTTCTTTGTCACTACAGTGGATCAGATTTCAGACACAGACATAGGCACCTAGCACTGTTTAAGAAACCTGCCTGACCTCCAGCCGCTACTTCAGAAAGTTTTCAGTAAGTCCTGTGTCGTATCTGCCAGCCCTTTGCGGATGTTTTTAGTACTGTGGGATATGTAAAATAGTATAAGCCACCAACGAAGCATGATTTCTAGAGGTAAGATCTATTTGAATAGAACTAACACAACTAACACACTATTGTAGTATGATGGATACCCGGGGAAAAAAAAAGAGCAAACTTGCTTCATTTTACATTTACAAGGAAGTAAATATCTTAATAGAATCCACACTGTTTTAAATAGAAGAACTAGGAGAAATTTAGGACATGATATACACATTCCATTACTCTTGAGTTTTGTATGAAGTCAAGTCATTGGAACAGTATCTATTCTAAGTCATGTAGTTTGTCCAGTTGGGTCAAAACATGAGGATGCGAAGTGTTTTGAGCAAAGAAAAATAAATTTGTTTGTCACAACATTTTGGACTTTACAAAGCATATGCGTTATCCACTCTCCTATTCTTGTTGGATCTAAAGAAAATCTAGAGAGAAAGGCAAAGAAAAAAAATAGTGACATGATACTGAATTTTATTTTTGGTACTTGTGCTTTTGTACCACATTATTCACTGAAAAAAACCCCTTCATAATTCACCCTCAGGAAAAGCACAAAAAGGCAGCAGCCTTTCTCCAAGTTTGAGAACCATGGCAAGTCTGGAAAGACATTTAGCATGCATGATCATTGTGAAGAAATTCTCAGGGACTGTGCTAGAAGTTTTAAAAGTCAAGTTTTGTGAGTTTTCCAGGAGACACCAATTTGACTTAGAAAGGCTTTATTTAAAATAAGGTTTCTCCTTCTGCCAAAGCAAGCCATCACTGCTCGCCTGACAACTCCCTAGTAGGAAGCTGTCCCTGAAACAGACAATGAGGTAGCACCAGAATACTCAAAGAAGTGAAATGAAAACAAATGATTTAAGGAGTTTATGTAATTGCTTTACCCCCTCCGACGCTCAATTTTCAGTCCTGTCACAGGAGCCATTAAGGCCAATCGGAACTTCAAAGCACTTACAGGTCGGGAGAGCTTCCCAGAAACCTCCCTCTTAAAAATTTCAACAGCCGCTTAGGTGCTGGGAGAGAGCTGGTGGGTTAGCGATGCCTACCAGGGTGCTGTGCACTGCCAGGACACCCGCCGCTTTTCCTTCTTTAGAAACCCGTGCACCGTTTGGGGGGCGGCAGGGCACGGGCCTCACCAACGGAGAAAAGGTCTGCGGCTCGGGGGAACAAGCACCCACGAGTGCCCAGGAGGACCCGTGCCCCAGAAGCGCCGTGGCTGGCGCTGCCGCCCCGGACAGTGCTAAGGGAAGTTGCCATTGACACTCTTGTGGTAGAGAGCAGCGCAGCCCGCCGCCATGGAGCCGGTCAGCATCGCTTCACCACCCTCCTTCTCCAGACAGCTCGTTTACCCTTCAGCAAGATGGTGGCCTTCCCACTCGCCTCCTTTACCAACATGGCGGCTCG